TTTCAGAGAATGATTTATTGTACTAAAAGATTGTCTTTATGTACAGAATTTGAGAAGAAATTTGATTTCTGTTTCAAAATTGTGTGCAGATGGATATTCTATTCTTTTTGGTAATGCGATTACTATTAAAAGAAATAACAAATTCATCGCATACAAAGAACTTGAGAATGGTCTCTATGTTCTCCATCCTTCTCTGGAAACTAACATAGCCGAAACTACGTCGGTTGATATCCCCAAGAAAAGAACCCGTGATACAGTTAATCCCATGTGCCTGTGGCATTACCGACTTGGTCATATCAGCATAAATTGTATCACAAGGTTGGTAAAGGATGGTCCTTTGGATTTTCTAACTGTAGAAGATCTTCCCACCTGTGAACCTTGCCTTCAGGGTAAGATGACGAAACGACCATTTAACGGTAAGCATGAAAGATATACGGGCACACTTGACCTTATACATACTAATGTATGTGGTCCCTTGAGTGTTAGGACACGTAACCAGCACATTTATTTTATAACATTCACCGATGACTACTCTCGATATGGTTACAAGAACCTAATGAGACATAAGTCTGAATCCTTTGAAAAGTTCAAGGAGTTCAGACAAGAGGTCAAGAAACAGTTAGGGAGAGAAATTAAGACCCTTTGATCAGATCGAGGTGGTGAGTATCTCTCTGACGAATTCAAGGACTACTTGAAGGTCAATGGGATAGTATCACAATTGTCTCCTCTTGCTATATCACAGCTAAATGGTGTTTCAGAGAGGAAGAATATGACGCTATTGGATATGGTCCGGTCACTTCTTATGCACTCAGAGTTACCCACATCCTTTTGGGGTTACGCATTGGAGACTACGATATACATGTTGAACTGGATTCCAACCAAATAAGTTTTGAAGACTCCCTATGAGATTTGGACCGGAAAGAAACCAAGTGTAAGACACTTGAAGATTTGGGGTTGTCCGACACATGTTAAAAGAACGAGTGCGGACAAATTGGAATCCAAAACCAGTTGTTGCCTATTCGTAGGCTACCCCAAAGGCTCTATGGGTTATCTATTCTATGACCCAAGAGAATAGAAGGTTTTCTATAGTTGAAATGCCCATTTATTGGAGGATGATTACATCTTGAACAATCATCATCAGGAAGTTGTTCTTGATAAGGAGAGCTCAGGGGTAGTAGGAGGTGTCCCACAAGTTCCAGGTAGTGACCATCCTAGAAGATCTACCCGGGTTTCTAGGCCTCTAGTTCGTTTCGGCTATGACTAGGATAGTTACCTGGTGGAAGCTACAATAAGTGAGGAGGATCATGTGACTTATACGAAAGTTATGTTCGACATAGATTCCTTGAAGTGGGTAGATGCCATGAGAGCTGAGATGGACTCAATGGAGACCAATGAAGTTTGGACTCTAGTAGATCCACCCCCGGGGTAAAAGCAATTTGTTGCAAATGGATCTATAAGAGGAAGAATGGCCACGATGGTAAGGTTGAGACCTACAAGTCTTGTCTAGTGGCGAAAGGGTATACTCAGAAAGAGGGCATCGATTATGATGAAACCTTTTCGCCGGTGGCCATGCTTAAATCCATTAGGATCCTGCTAGCTGTAACAGCATACCATGACTACGAGACTTGACAAATGGATGTCAAAACTGCACTTCTGAATGGAGATCTTACTGAGCATATCTATATGCAGCAACCGCAAGGTTTCATAGCTGCGGGTCAGGAACACATGGTATGTAAATTGAATAGATCCATATATGGACTTAAGCAAGGAACATCCGGTTTGACTCTACGGTCAAAAGTTTGACTTTGAGCAGAACCCGAATGAACCCTGTGTTTACAAGAAATCCAGTGAGGATAAGGTTACGTTCTTGGTTCTGTATGTAGATGACATTCTACTCATTGGGAATGATGTAGGAATGTTGACTACGGTGAAAGTATGAATTTCACAGCAATTCTCCATGAAAGATCTTGGAGAAGCCTCCTATATACTGGGACTTCGACTCTATAGAGATAGATCGAAGAGGATAATTGGATTATCCCAATTTTCTTACATTAACAAGATAGTCAAAAGATACAACATGGAGAACTCCAAGAAAGGAAATGTTCCTTTCAGGCACAGAGTAACTCTCTCCAAGGGGATGTCTCCCAAGACTCCCAGGGAGATTGAGGGCATGAAGGACGTTCCCTATGCCTAAGCCGTAGGGAGCATCATGTATGTCATGCTGTGCACTTGTCATGACATTGCTCAGGTAGTGAGTGTGATAAGCAGATTCCAGGCCAACCTAGTGCAGGAGCACTGGACTGCTGTGAAAAATATACTTAAGTACCTTTGAAGGGCAAAAGAGTTTTGTCTGGTATTCGATGGTAACTCACTACAGATCCAGGGGTATACTGATGTCGACTTCCAGTCAGATCCAAATGATAGAAAGTCTACATCTGGGTATATTTTCACAATATGATTGTGTGCTATTTGCTGAAAAAGTCAGCAAACAAGGGTCCTAAGTAGCGAAAATAATAGTCCACAACCCAAGCCGAACACATTGTCGTAAGTGAGTGCCTAATGAATGAAGGTGTTCATTCTTGAATTTGGAATTCAGTACATCACCCATTCCACTGTTGTATGACAACACTGGATCTACGGGAGATTGATGTTAAGAGGTAGCATCCGCGAAGAATGTGGCAGACCCATTGACTAAGCCACTGACACAGAAAGTGTTTGAGAAACACGTGGAAAGTATGGGACTTCGGCTTATACCAGATTGGACCTAAGTGCAAGTGGGAGTTATTAGACAGTGTATGCCCTTAGCTCCAATTAGAAATGGTGTACCTTATGACATTTAATGTAAATGAATAAAGTACATATTTGATTCATGTTATTGTGGTGTGTTTCTGTGTAATACCCTTAAACTGGACACATATGAGACTTGTGTTACTTTAGAATGTTCACAGCCGTTGGATAGATCTGGGGAGATTTATCCTACTAAGGCTGACACTGATGTGCCACCAAGTT